AATTTAATCTAGTTGATTTCCAAATAAATAAGATAAATTCTTAAGTTCACATCGTATCACATATGAAACGTGATTTGAAACCATAAAAATTTTTTTTTCTATCTATATACGAGTACATAAGGAAAACTTCTTATATACCGTGCATAAAATGTAGAAAAACAAAGCATTCAAATCTAAAAAAATGTTCCCTTTATTTTCTTGTTTTTCTGATTTCTTTTATTTCAATTCTTGAATTCCGTGTTTAGTACTAACTAGTGTAAGCATACATAATATTTTTTGAAGAAAGCATAAGCAATGAATTGACAAAATTATTTGAAATCGATGAAAATTGAAACTTAACAAGTTTTTTATTCAAAGCGTTGTTATTCGTGAACACCATATTTAAATATCATGAATGGAACCATAAAAATTCCTATTGATCACCTGTGAAAATTTTCTTTCATGATGTCATTTTTTTTTTCAAAAGAAATTTTCTAAAAAATTTTATATTAAAGAGCTTTTCATTATTGAATTGAGAAAATAAGGAGAACAAAAAATATGGTACCTTAACAATTTGAGGCGATTTTCTAAATTGGCTTGGGTATTTAGATGGTTTTAAAGGAGATACTTGCTATATCGTAAATATTTTATTTTGAGTAAAATAAGCTCAAAGTTTGAAATTCGGTTTTTTAGAAAAAATAAAGCAGAAGTTGTAGGGGATAGTACCATAGATTCGGAGTCAATTGAAAGAAATTATTGGTAAAACAACTGAGAATTCAAATTCGAATTTATTTTCAACCGTTCTATATCAAACTCGTCTTAGTATAAATTTAAAATAAAGTTTTGATTTTAAATAAAAATCGTAATTTCTTACATTTTCATCAATAATTGAGGTAAATTTTAAAATATTATAGGGAATTTGAATTTAGAACAGCATAAGGATAAACTCGGGAATAAAATGACTCTGGTAACTTGCAACTCTAGCTAATAGACAGTAACGAATATTGTTCAAAAAGATACTGCGGCAGTAAATCGTGGATCTTCTTGCTGTAAGAATTCATTATTTTTAACTACTCCAACATTTTACGATATTTCAAATTTAATTCATCTGATTACAAAGTACCATTGATTTAATTACAAAAAAATTGAAATGATCCTTTAAGTATACTATTTCAATATGACTTTTGTTGTACTTAAACTTTATAAATAAATAAATTGAATAGAATTTTGTTAATAAATGAGTATTCATTAATATTTTACAAGCAGCCTTACAAAAGAAAATATGAGTAAAAAATTTTCGAAGTAAACAACTACCAACCATTAAACTACATAACTTTCAATTTATTATAAACAATTTTATTTAACATAAATTTTTAAATAATACAAAATAGACTCTTAATTTTTCTCTTCATTCGCTCATCTTACATCGTACACAGAATATAAATTACATGATGAAGAAATCTTGAAAATAATTTAAATATTTACAATAATTTTTAAGTTAAAAAAATTCTAAATAATTTTTTTTTTTCATTCTGAAATTTATAGTAATAAATTCAATTTGATTATCTTCTTACAAATTTTAATATTATTTTTTTATTTCAAGACAAGATGAAGATTATATCACAATTTTTTGTGGTCCTTATGTTTATTCTTAACTCAAAACAAACACAAAAAAAAATAATAAGAAACATTTCATATTTTTATTTAAATATTAACCAATTTTAGCATAAAAATACAAGGTTTCATTAAAATCAATTATTTTTAAGTAGCACATTATATGGTTGTCAAGGGATTGTTTATATGGGAGTTATATTATACACATTATATGGGAGTCAGCGGACATGCAACTAATTTTCTGCTTTCAAACAACATATTTTACAAGAATTACAACGATAATTTTTAAAGAGTAAAGAAATTCTTACCGACGACATGTTAAACTGTAAGGGATCGATAATTCAATGTCATTTTTAACCTTGTTTATAGAAAATATTAAAATTATGTGAAGAATTATAAAATTTATTATAATTATAAAATTCTTGATTGTATTCCAAACTGAATATTTTACCCATACCACTCTCCTCCCTCCCCCCACTCCTACACTCATTCCCTCCCCCATTCCCCGTACTCCCACCACTTATTCACATATGTTTAGAATTTCAGTAATTTGGCTAGTGATTGAGTGTTAATATAAATCTACCAAAATTTCATTTTGAATATCTGACAATTCAATATTTTGGATGTCTGATTGATATTGATAGTGTAAGGTCATGTCTATATAATATCAAAATTATTATGACTCATTCCAATTTAAATGACTCATTTAAACATGACCAAAATATTTCTCTTTTATTCTTTCTTCTACTATATTTCTCGAAATCATGAGGAAAATGAAGAACAACACCGAAAAATTCTCATTTGTGTTAACACGCTTGTACTGTATGTAGTAATAGAATAATTTTTATTTAAAATTACAGTGTCTCACACACTCTCTCTCTTTCTCTATCTTCAGTTAACGAAAACTGCTGCTCCAAAAGGAGCTTTAGTAGAAATTTTCAGTACTTTGTCAAATGTTAAATGGTTAAACGGTAAAAATAGAAAAGTATTATTCAATAATCAATGTTAGTCATTTTTATAGTATTCGAGGATTTGATATTGGGCACTGTAATTGAAATTCCCCTATAATTTAATGAAAATTTCAATTTAACAATCTGTCAGATTAATGGCTTTGTTTAAGCTGCCTACCAGATTTCAGTAAAATTGAATAATTCAAAAACTACACTGACAAAAAATAAAACTACATTTAAACTGTTTTCAATATATGAAGAGAAAACATGCTAAAAAACGAAATTACTTAAAACGTCGTAAAGAAAAAACTCTAATAATATTTTTACCCGAATATTATTTTTTTCTTCTTCTTCTTCTTATTTTTTTTTTGTGAAACTTTCTAACAAATCCTTATTGAAAGTGGAACATCATTAAGTACATTTTATAAAAATCAACGAATGAAATAAATTTACAAGAAATAAGGAAAAAATTCCTTCTAAAAAGGACTTTTGAATAATTTAATAAATTTTAGGTTTATTTTTGTTGTTTTTTTTTTTTGAAAAAATTTTGGTTTATATAACGGTATAACTTAAATATTCAAATAGCATCTATGTATACAAATTGTTTTCAATTTTGTTTTTCTTGAAGATTTTTGATTAAAAAAATATTTAATATTTTCTCCGATTTACATTCTATTCTAATATTCTATTCTTCCCTAATAAAATTATTCTAATGGCTACCAGCAAAAAAAAAAAAAATAAAAAAAATTTCTTTAACTACTTCGGAAAAATTTAATTCTACAAAATATGAAACACCTTGTAATGTAATAAAAAAAAAATTACTTCTAAAAATCAGAATTTTTTTCTGTTTTAATACTTGAATTTCTAAAAAACTTGTGCAATGAATTTAAATTTTTCATTTTTAAAATTAAAACTATTTGAAGAAGTTTCAATTAAGTTTTCGTTGGTGGATAATTAAATTAAATTGATGTCATTTTGTTATAGAATATTTTTTAATAAAAAAACAAAAAACAATAAAAACAGAAGTTGAACAGAGTAAAAATTTCAAATATTGTTTAGAATAGTGTGACCACAACGGGATTAAGATGATATTAAAATTATTCATATTAGATTTATAAATTTGTATCTCCTAAACGTTTTATATTTTAGAAAAATTTTAATTTCAATTTTTCTTCGAATTTATTATAAAATCCAAATACCTAATTACAAATACTCTATTTAGCCACTTACAAATTCTCTATATTGGAATTACAATTCTGCATTCCTCTACACATCAACTTATAAGTGTTAACCACAATACAAATTTAACTAATTTAGGTTAAATTTAGTCTCTATTATACAATTCAGCCCCTAAATCCTTTAATATTTTCTGCACAATTCAGATTATGAGTACTAATTGCTGAATTTTGCAGGGTTTCCATATTATCTTCATTGAAAGTTAGAGATTAAAAAAGAGACTTAACAAATAGAAATCGATAAGATTTAAATTTTAACATCGAACAAAAGCCGTTTACTTATTCAGAAATACATTCTTTTTTTATTCCGCAATTAATTGCTCAATAAATAATATTGAAGTTAGAACTGAATTTTTAACTACTTGCATTTCCCTTGACGAAATTTCTTATAAAACTAATATTATGTATGTACATTTTTTGATATTGCATACTTTTAGGGACATTCGTATTTCGAAAAATCTTAGTTTAAATTAAAAATTGTAATTGAAAATTTTAAGTAAATCAACTTCAAATACAAAATAAAATGTTAAGCAGTTTAATATTAAATGAAAATAGAAGTTAAAAACCCGAAGGGGGCCAGTTTTTGTAAAGTATGAAACTATTTTCGATTATAAAATTACAAACCAATTTATAAGAAATTAAAGCAAGATAAGCTTAAGTTTAACCTGTAATAATTTTTTTAATTTCATTAACTAGGAAAACAAAAAAGAAATTTAAATTTGTGCTCTTTCTAAAATCTTACCTACCCTCAATCCGAATTTATCTATACTATAAAAAAGTCAACTTTAAAAAAATTTTATGAATAAACGTAAAATATTTTAGGATTAGCTTTGAAAATCTTTTAAAATCCTTAAAAAAAAATAGAAAACCTATTCAAATTTTAATATCTTAAATTTTTATTCAGTTTGTACACACCTGATTTAGTAACCGAAAGAAAAAATTAATGTACATTCATAATTTTCTTCACAACACCACAAGCATTCCGTCGAACATCAACAGAACTAAATCAGGTTTTTGTAAAATATTTCAAAAATTTACAACTTTCAATTTACATTAATAACAATTTTTTTTTTTTTAGCTTTAATTTATCTTTACTTTCCACCAGAAAAGCAAAAAGATAACAAAAAAAAACAAGAAGCGAAAATGAGATTTTGCAGGAAAATCAAAAATATTAAAAAATTTAATAATTTATTTTTTTTTTTCTTATTTTTTTACTACTTACATTAAATTAACCAAAATCGCTAAACCGGATGTAATCAACATAATTTTTCCATCAACTTCATATTCTTGCCTTCTAATTCTATCGACAGCCATATAAACCAATATAGCTGTAATCACCCAAATCATAAAAACGGATACCAAAGCGCCAATTACTTCCGCTCTATACCATCCAAAAGACATCCTGAAAATAATTGAGAAAAGAAGAAAAAAATCATAAATAAAAAATAAGAAAAAACCAAAAAAAAAAAATTTTTTAAAAAGAAAATTTTAAGTAATTTTTCAATTGAAAAAAAAAATCAACTTGATGAGGGAAGAAAGAGAAGAATACAGAAATAGGGAGGAAGACAAGAAAAACTTAAGAAATTCGGAAAAATAAAAAAACAACAAGGGAAAAAATTTTATAATTTTTCACCTATTATTCGAATAAAATTGGAAAAAAAACGAACCGTAAACAGCATGAAGGGAACGAAAGAAAAGTGAAAAGCAGTAAAAAAAAAAATATAGAGGGAAAAAGTTAAAAATCATAGAAAAGAAAAATACAAAACACACAAATCACAGGAAGAAAAAAATTAAAGAACAAATTAGAACTGAAAAGGAAAACTTTTCCGTTTGTAATGAATTTTCGATTTCCGTTAAATAAAATTAAAAAAAAAACAAAATTACAAGAAAATAAGAAAAAAAAAATTACTCAATTTTTCTTTTCTTGTATTTTAGTTATTACTTTGTTGTAATGGCAACAAAATTTCAAGGATATTACAAAAATGTCCGCTATAGATAATAAAAAGTTCAACTAACACTCAAAGAATTTTTTTTTTGAAATGAATCAGAATAGCCTAAGTAAAGTAAATTGTGGTGATAGGAAAATAAAGTGTCTTAACATGAAATGCTAAGAAATTTAATATTGAGTTGAAGAAAGTTAATATTGAGAAATTTAATATTGAAAACAATGTGAATTTTGGCTGGTTTTCTGACAAAATAATTAATAATTTTCTTCTCGAACTGATAAAAGAAATCAAAGTTAATAAATTATAACACAATTTATATTATAGGTTAGAATAGAAGAATTTAGTTCTCATGTAGACACTACAAATGTCAATGTCACATTAAGGATCCTCGAGATTAATTTTAAAGAAAATTTAATGAAACTACAAAGAACTAGTTTTAAATTGACCAAGATATACCGAAAATTTTCTCACTTTTTACTGAATATCGAACTTTGAATGGAAAGGTATGAATTTAACAACCACGAAATACATCACAAATTCATATTACTGGAATAAACAAGAATTTCGATGTAATCTGAATTGATTTTTCAAGTATGTATTAGCATGTAATAAATTTCTTTAAACAACGTCATAAAAATTCTTGTTTTATTTTTTCTTCTTTTTCAGTCTCCATCTGAGTGTCTGAGTGAAATAATTTATTTTCTTTGATTTCAACAATAAATTTATTATTCCTTAAGATCGGAGACTTTATCAATTTTTTTGGAAATTTGTTAGTATAAACTAAATAACCAAAGACAGTACTCTCACTTTATTTAAAATAATATTGTTTTCTTTTTCCATAACAGCATTACTCTTTAAAACTTTACAGGATCCTTAACAACATATAAAATTGAAAAAAGAAGAAAAAACAATTTAAATTTGGAATGTTGCCAATATGACAATTTAGTTATTTTTGTTTATTTAGTGTGGTTTTTACAAATTCACTCAGAATAAATTTCATTGCCAAGTTATGGATCCACTATATACCAAAAAGAATATGAAACTAGAAGAGATATGAAAATTAAATTCTTTTAATTTTAAATTCCAGACAGATATTTTCTGTGTTTACATTCTCGCATCCTCATTTTGACGCTTTTTTTTTATATTGTTTATCTATTAAAACTTTTCCAAATATTCCCTTGATATTTTTACAATTTTTTTTTTATATTTGGATGATATCAAAAAAATTTCGTAATTAAAGTTGAATGAAAGTTCCAGGATTGAAGACCACTATACTGTTTGCGTTCTTCTAATTCAATTAAAGATAAAGGAAAAAAAACATACCTTTTACTGGAAAATTGTTAAAATGAATTTTAACATGAAGTTGTGGAAAGTTTTAAATGATATTTAAAAATACCTTAAAAACAAATTATTTATTAAGAATTTTTCTTAAAAATTGAAAAATTTGGCTCGAAATTTAAAATTATATTCTTTTTTAAAACAAGCAATGGAAATTAAAGCCATTAAAATTAATTTATTCTCTTCAGGTGTTAAGAATTTTCAAAAAATTATATTAATTGAGTTCAGGATCGTGAATTACCAGTGGTTTATACAGGATATTAATTACTATTCCAACAATTGATTAGATTGTAATTAGCTTTCAGTCTATATATAGGCAAAGACGAGATAACAGTGCACCGCGACCAGAAAATATAGGTCTATTGTGCCGACCAACTATAACACCCCATCGAGAGCCACCCTCCTGATGAATTTGAGCAACTTTGAAGGGCTGGTAGATCGCAACTCCGCGGCCATCTTATGCGGGCGAGAGCTCCGTATTCTCTCAGAAGGTGCGGCGAGAATACAAAATCCTTCCCGCAAAACCTGCATACATCTTCACTTCCTAAGCCAAGCCTTCTAAGGTGAGCTCTAAGGTGACAGTGCCCCGTCAAGACCCCTATAAGAGTTCTAACTTAATTCCCGCCGAGCTCCATTATTTTCCTAAAGCGCCCCTGATCATAATTTCCAAGAAGCTCCTTAGCCTGTCGAAGTCCTGGGAGACACCCGCAGCGCTCCATTTCCTCGAATCGTATGTGATCCGATCCTAACGAAATATAAGCATCATTTCCTATTATTCGCATATCACCTTCAATACCTTTCATTCTATACAATTTATAACAACTAATTCACTTATATAAAGGCTATCTTTTAATTAAGAACGATTTATACACAATGTTAAATTTTTCGAATTCTGTTCTATTAATAGTCTCATATACAAACATATACGAGCTTTTATAAAACTTTTATAACATCGTCATCACCATCTTTTACATAATTCTGGCAAAATACGTCATATTTTAATTGAGTTGTTCTAAAAAAATTTTTTTTTTGCACTCAATTAATTTATAATTTATTAGCCACTGTAATAATTCAGGTTTCATGGTTGAATAATTTTGTACCCTTTTTACCGACCGTATTGTGTAAACAATAGGTAGGTTATGTGATGGCAACAAATTTTGCATATCGAGTTTTCGGTGGGAACGTACTTCTCCATAGTAGGGAAGTGTAAATAAACTATTTTTAGCAACCTGTCGGTCTGTCGGTCTGTGTGTGCACGCGTGTATCTCAAGTTCGGCTGAACCGATTTTGATGAAATTTTATATGTAAGTTTGTTTCCACCATGGCACGGATCGATCAACTTTTGGTATATAACAGGCCTCGGGAACTGCACTTTTTAGCGGGCCTGTTTTACATTTTTGAACATTTTGAAGAAAATATTCAACCGATTTACTTGAAATTTTATATATGAGCTCAGCTCGACCGTCCGCAAAAATTCCTATGTTTTGGAAGAAATCAGGCATCGGCAACTAGAGGTTTACTACGGGCCAAATATTCATTTTTGTGTATATAAAGAGAAATAATCAACCGATTTCATTCAAATTTAATATATGAACTCCTCGTATTAAAACAATGAACATATAAATTTTTTGGAAAGATCAGGGCTCGAAAACGGATTTGCGGGCCGATTTTACATTTTTCACCATTTTGAGGAAAGTATTCAACCGATTTACTTGAAATTTCATATATAAGTTTTGCTCGATCATACGCAAAAATTCCTAACTACGGGCCAAATATACATTTTTGTGTATATAAAGAGAAATAATCAACCGATTTCATTGAAATTTAATATATGAATTCCTCATATTAAAGCAATGAACATATAACTTTTTTGGAAAGATCAGGGCTCGAGAACTGATTTTCGGGCCGATTTTACATTTTTCACCATATCCACAGAACAAATTGATGGAATTTCTTGAAATTTGATATTTGAGTTCTGGTTGTTACCGAAACTAACTGGCGAGCATTTCAGGGAATTCGAGTAGCACAAAGCGAAACTCTACTAAGAGCCAAATTTACATTTTTCTAAGTATGTTAAATATAAGCTTACTAATGTCCTAAAAATTGGAAAGAAGTATTTAACAGACATTTTTATAATATTCTGTAACACTTTCATTTAACTAGACAATACACAATGCGGTCGGTTATGTGCTGATCACATCAGATTTTTTTGTTTATAATTTTTCATTTTTCTTACAAAATATTTTGACCGCTTTTTTCTTTCTAAACAAACACAAAAAGGAACAATATATAAAAATGTACATAAAATACACCTACTCAAAAAAGGTTATCCATTAACCTTTCATTTATAAAGGAGGTCTTATAATAATAAAAATGTATAAAGATTTTTAAAATTTATAATTTTGTATATGTAAATGATAATGTATACCTAATTGGGGATAATACTGCTTTTTAGCTAAAAATAAGTCTTAAGCCATGACCTACTTTTGATTTTTAATCAACAAAGAGGGAAAAATGTAGAATTTTTTGTTTTATTTAGTTTTTAACAATAATTATAAAATTTAAACTTTAAATTAACAATTTTAAAAATATGAAGATATCTTAGACTCTTAGATTATTATAGATGATTCACCGACTTGTTTTTCATCGAGATTCACCGAATAATATTCGGTAGCCTAAAAAATTTATTTGAAATATACATAAAAATCTCTTGTGCTCCTAATGAAATTCGCACCTATATTGTATGCATCCACACTCTCAACCATATCCTTTATCCGTTAAAGCAAATTTAATCAAATTACAATGTTTGACTTAAACTCAATTCTGCCGCATCTAAAATTTTTTTTAAATTTATTAGCAAGGTAAGTTAAAAAAAAAACTCCTTTAAACTTATAAAAGAGCCACGTTATGGCTATTGTGAACAATATTATAAATCCAGAATATTAAGGACGAATTGCCAAAATTCTGTATAATTAATCGTTAAAAAAGTAGTATTTTTATTAAAAATTTTTCAGCCTTAAACCTCTTCTTGAGCTCAATTTGAACCACTTTCAATATAACTAAAGGGGGTTCATAAAATTCACGTAAGATTTGAATTTTGCACCATTAGTGAGACAAA